CAAGCCCCTTCAATGAGTAGAGACATCTGGAGCTAGATCAGGTTGCTCAGAACCATGTCCAGCCTGGCCTTTGGGCATCCATCACTTCTCTGGGCAGCCTGTGCCAATGTTTCACCACCCTCATTGTACAAAATTTCTTCCTTCTCAGAAACTAAGGTGTAAATCCACCCTTTAGCTGGTCTGAGCTACCCAGTGGTTTCCTTGTGTCTCCTGAGGAGCTCCCATACGCTGCCCATAGCCAGACAAGCCGCTGGTTAGTGCCCTCTCTGCAGTCCTACCCCTGTCCCTCTTGGCTGGCAGGTCCGGCTCTGACCCACCTCATCCGGGGAGGTGGGACCATGCAAAACATCAAAGGATTTCCTCTGTCACAATTCCATTTACCAGGAGCTGGATGTATCCATTATGGTTATTACCAGGGCAGAGAGCGAAAATGGCCATAAACATGCTCTCAGATCAATTGCAATAATCCATAGTTGGCTCGGGAGACACACAGGGTGATGCCTACTCCCTCCACCTCCCCCATGCATGGCTTATCATTTTCTTATGCTCACAAAAGACATTCTTCTCCTTATTTCAGGGCCTGTCCAAAGGGAAAAATAAGGCAGGATCAAGAGAATAGCACGTGTGGTTCACCTTTGCAATTTGCCTCTGATGGGATATTGTAATATGGCCCAGATGCCTGGGAAGATGTTTAATGTAAGCCAGAATGATTGACAGCTCTCCATACAGGATCTGAAGGCTGTCCGATCTCAGGTTATTGAGTGTCCCACTTAGTGACAAATATATACAGCTAAGTAGGGCACAGATCTCCAGTTCCCCCTGCCTGAGCCCAGATCATCCCCCTGGAGCTGCTTTTGGATGCGCCCTGAATTAGTGATGGCATCAGCAGAGCATATTGGGGAGGCCCTGGCACAGGGTGCCCAGAGAAACTGTGGCTGCCCCATCCCTGGCAGTGTTCAAGGCCAGGTTGGACACAGGGGCTTGGAGCAAGCTGCTCCAGTGGAAGGTGTCCCTGCCTATGGCAGGGGTTGGAGCTGGAGGAGCGTTAAGGTCCCTTCCAACCCAAACCAGGCTGGGATTCTATGATTCAAATATTGGCGCTGGAGGTTTGACCCCTTAAGGTTACTCAAGCAGTCTGAGAGCGTGTAATGCCATGACCACCCTGGAACCAGCCCCAGCGCCTTGAGCACCCGGCTCCATCAGCACAGGACTGCAGAGGTCGAGTCCTGCTCCTACATGAAGTGGGAGCAGCACTTCAAGAAGCTCTGGAATCAAGGCATGCTCTTCAGTGGGAGAGAAGCCTTAGGCAGCATCTTTGCAGTAAGTCTCCTGGGTTTACAAGAAACACAATAGTGTCCTGTCCTTTGGATTCAATTTAATGGGCTCAGGCAGCATTAACTGGCATCTTGGGGATAAAGAACAGTTGTCAGCCCAGACTCAGGCTCTCACATTGAGCAAGGATTATTTTATTATGACTTAATATTCTTATTTCTTGTTATTGCTAATTACTGGCTGAAGCTCGGTGCTGGGGAACCTACAGTAATGCCTCCATCAGTGCTCCAGATGATGCTGTATACTGGGAGAGGCCCTGTCAGAGCTCATCAGGTTTTGCAGATGACTGCTTCCACAGCAGCCAGCGGTGAGTGGCAATAGCACAGACAGGCAGGGAAATCTTCTTGCAGACTAATCCCCCTCCATCGTTTCGTTTGCATTCGTGACCTCTTTTATTCATGACTCTTGGGTAGCAAAACACTTCCTCCCAAATAAACACTTGTGAAAACCAAACATGGACTAATTACTCGTGCAAATATTCGCCTCTGAATATGCATGCAAATGGGTTTACCCACACGAGCTCGTACCCCAACCTCCATGAATATGGATTTTCATGAGAAAACACGGAAAGTGGAAAAATCCGAGTGTGTTTGGTTGGCTTAGTAAGGGAGCAGAAAGGGAGCTGTGCGTTTCCTCTGGCTGCGGCTAAGGCTGGGTTCACAAGTACTCAGTTGAAAGTATTCAATCCAATTACAAACATTGCATCCTACAAACCTTAAATTCAGTCTGACAAAGTGAGTGGGCACATCTGGAGTGAAATCTGTGCGGACTTTTACTTGGGAAAATAGGAGGATGATATTAGTTATTTACAGTGAAATCATCCCAAATCCGTTTTCAGGGCTAGAGGGAGTAGTGCACCCACCCCAGCCATGAGCAGGCAGGTTCTCCAGGAGAATGATGTGGCAAATGGTGCCAAAGTCCAGGTAGAAACCATCCACAGCCCTTCCCTCAGCCAGGTCTTCGCTTTTGTTCAAGTCACCTTTGAAAACCTATTTGAGTTTCTCTCAGTTTTCATTTGGAGATCATGGGTGTGTTTGTCCAAACATCTGTGGGAGCTGGTTAACAGGATCAGGCTAGCATTAGACTAGTCCAGACGAGGAGAGGATAATCTTTTCCAGCCAAACAATAGCAATAAGATTAATGCATAAAGGCATAAATCCTCCTGTTCAACTCCATTAATCACCCAGATGTGCTACTTCCCCAAAGCCAGGCAGTTGCACTGTCACTATTGGCTTTTTCTCTGCTGAAAACAGAGCCCCACAGCGTTAGCTGCGGAAAGCTGATCATCTCATGGAAGGGAATGGTTAAAGTTACTCAGTTCCCGTGCCACTGAGGAAATGCAGGAGTTAGACACATCCAGATTCATTTGCAGTTGCTGTTTGGGGCACAGTAACACAGGAGATCCTAGGTGCGCCATCAAGCTAAGACAGGACAGAGCAGAGCTGAGTTCTGTGACTCTCTGGTTCTAGTTAAACAGTATTCGCCTGCTTCTTCAGCAAAGAAAGGTGTTTGCCATAATCTCTTGTCAGGTACTGAGTTACCATCTTTAACTTGAAAGGTACAAGAATTGCATGTTTTGGACCTTCATTTCTCTATGTAAAAAGCCAAAAGCTTCCAATGTTATATGAAGAAAGACAAGAGACAGAGACACAATGGGATCTTCTCTTTGGGACATCAGGGTTATTTTTCCAGTGGCAAAAATAAGATAAACCCACAATTTATGTTGCTGAGTCTGTATTTCATCTCTGAAAGTGGCAGCCCCTCACTTCCCCAGCTCAAGAACCAGGACCTGTTGACAATGAAGCCCTCATGAGCAGCACCAAAGGGAGAATTGCCTCTGAGTTCCTGGGGATCATTGAGGTGCTGTATCCAGACTGCAGCTTGCTCAGGCCTTCCTGCCCATTTGAAATTGCTGGTTTGGGCTTTAAAAGGAGGAAACAGGCTGGAATGCTTTGATTTTTCTCCTCTAGGCTGCAAACCACATTGTGCACTAAGTCATTTTCGCAATAGATCAGACTGGGGGGTATTTTCCAAACCCTCTGACAAGGCCAGCTTTAAAAAGCAAGCAAATGACATCCCCACAGATGGACTGAGGATAAAGCATGCACGAGAATCCAGTCACCACCCCCCGATGATAACACAGCGGTGATCAGAGCTCTCAGAGGCAGCCGTGGGCAAACGGTGACTCTTTAATGACGAGCATCCATTGAATTTGATAGCTGGGAATAATTGAGTGTTCCGGGCTCGGCTCATTGCAGGGGTTTGAGCAGACCTAATTGAAAGGGATATGTGTTCTTTCCTTCGTACTCTGCAGCTCCTGATCAGCCTCCCGGCGCCAGCATTTGAACGTGGGGCTGGCTCTTGGGGAGGACAGACCCCGACCCAAGCGGTGATGGAGCTCAGGCTCAGCGGGAGCCCAAGGGGATGCGGAGCGCAGCGCTCGGCTGCTGATGCGAAGGGGCACAGCGACATCCCGCGTCCTTTGGAGGGAGGAAAGGCTCCGAGCTCACGCTGAGCCTCACCCGCCTGCGGGAGGAGGTGTGGATCGCTCCATCCCGGTTTATGCGTGACTTCGTTGTGATCAGATGTTTATCACTGCCTGCTCCGGCTTCACGTCCTCCCGCGACGGGTTCTTGCCGATAGATCCCAACGGGGGTTCTGAGCTCTGCTGCCGACCAGCAGTACCTGCAGCACCGTGGTGAGATGCCCCATGCGACCTAGGCATGGTTATAGTCAGCCTGCAGGAGGTTCTATAGCGAACCTGTAGCTCGCCAGATAAGACCCATGAGGACAAGAGATGGGGCTGGGCACTGAGGATGGCAGGCTTGAACCCCATTAGTGTCTCTGCTGCTTTTCCGTGGTGCTTTAAGATACTTTGCCCTGTCTGAACACTTCCTTCTCCTCCTGATATCCACACTCCACTATTTCTGTTCATCTGATGGGTGGAATTCAGGCCGTCTACAGCAGGACAGTGCACGTTGCAATCTGCATTTCCAAAACCACCTGGGGACTGATGTTTGCCTGGAAATGGGAAGAGCGTGTCTGAAGTGGAACATCCACAAGGAAATGTATATTGCTCCCCCGCAAAATCCCTCCATCATCCTGTTCTGCTGACAGGCAGGGTACACCACAAAACAACCACACACTGGCTGTATAACATGCACAGTTTATTAAACAAGCACACTAAAGCAAATAAGCTCACTGGCACAAATCAGGTATATATCTCTATGTATATAGTAAATAAGTACAATAAAGCAAATCAGAGATACATATATATAAGTACAGAGGAAAATTAGCAATGTATCACATCGTTACTGCATAGACAGGACAGAGATTAAGAAGAAATACATCACCAGCCACCACCGAATCATCCTCCAGGCCCACACTTGAGCTGGGAAGCCCCATTGCAGCCAATGCTGGGAGTCTCAGTTTTGGATTCGGCTGCAAGAGGCTCCTGCTTTTATACCCTTAGAAACACAACGGGCTTTATGCCAGCTCTGTCATTGTTTGCTCATGTGGACGTGCAGCTTCTCATGATCTCAGTGTTGCCCATCCTGAGAGCACTGGCCAGGCAGCCTGGTGCAGCCAAGTAGAGAGGTCATAAAATAGCTGCACCCGTTTTCCTGCCTCATTCCCGTAAACATGCGTACTCCACCGAACTCCAAACCATACTGTGTTATGTGTCTCAGGCATGAGAGGGAATCAGCTCTCAGGCAGGTTCCCATCCATTACCCATCCTCATCTTTGTTACCCTTTAAGAAAGCAAAGCAAGGACTGGGCAAGCCTCGATGAATATAAAGCAATGCTGTTATAATAAGAAAGCTGGTTAAGAGCCTTTCAACATCAGAGACTATCTGCTGTGGACATTTCCATGTGTTAAAGGTTGAAAAATTAGGGAATTAAATAGAATTAAATCTGTAAATATGTAAATCTGTAAAATTAAGTCGTGAAAGGCTTGGTCAGTTAAGAAAAGCAGGTGGAAAATAACATTACAAAGCATTCAGAATCCAGTGGTAACCAGTTTGCATTTTGCCATGCCTATGCATTGTGCGAGCTGAAGCCAATATTCATTCCCATTTATCAGTAATTACCAAATGCAGCTTCTCCAAAGGTAATGCTCGCATCAGCATTGCAAAGAATGTTGTATTTTCTAAGCTGAAGACTTCTGCTCCTTCTCCTGCATTGCACATCCTCCATTTCCCAACACACCTGGTGTTCCCCCGTTTCTATCTTACAAGTAAGCAGCAGGAGATGGGTAAATTTTGCTTCTCAGCTATGCAATAACAAACCATTTCAAACATTTGGGCATTTCCATGCTTTGAGGAATCAGCAGTTCTGAGTGAAAACAGCCTTTGGAATGCAAGCCTCACTTTCCCAATGAACAAAGCACTTAGTACACTGCTCAGCGCAAGGATCTGCTCCTCTAGTTGTCAGTCACAGAGACATTTAACTCCATCAGTCTACTGATGAAGTCCTCCATGTCCTTTATACTGTCTGCCTTGAGGTAGTACGTCACCTTATCGTTAAACAAACACAGGGTCTTCGAGTCGATTCTCTGTGCTGTGGCGCTGCTGAGATTGATGCTGCCACGGATAAGCTTGCCGATGTCATCTTTGTCCCTGCAGAGCAAAGGGGAGAGTGAAGAAGCTCCGGAAGCGAAGCCATTGCTGCCTAAAGAAGTTCAGGCTGTTGCTGGGTGGGGTTTTGAACACGTTCTTTGCTCTTCTGATGGCCACAGAGAGGTGGGGAGGGTAAAAGGGACCCGAGTGCCCCATGGCCTCCAGGTTTCCCCACCACCTCCCTCCCTGCTCAGCTCCAACCCCACATTCATGCAACCGATGGGATCTGTGGGAAGCGTTGTCAGAGCTTCCCCACCTCCATCTGCCACCTGGTGTCAAAAGCTATGAACAAAACCAACCTGCAGGTGCCTGTTAAAACCCCTGTTATCATGCAAGATGTCTGCCTGGCTGCTCTGGAGCCTTTGCAACCACAAGACCCAAGCAAGAAGTAACGTCCCCTTTGGTGGGACCTGCCTGGCTGGTCACTTACCAGTAATAGTTAAGCCACGTGTCCTGAAATTCAAAACAGCGATTCTGGTACCAAAAGATCCAATTTGTCCATTTCCTGAAGTGGAAGATCTCCCCGTCCATTGCAAGACACGGTGGGAGGGGGACTGAAAGCGAACTAAACTGATAGCTCGAACCAAAAGTGAAAGCAGCATTTTCTTAAAGGGCCCGGCCCGGTCTTGCATGTCTGAGGTGCTGAGTTATGCAGCCAGGACATCAGCATCCCCCAGGTACTCACGGAGGGATGCTGAGCGTGGCCATGGAGCCACAGGGGAGGTTGGATCCGCTCCAGAACGGAGCCATTCAGGGTCGCGGAAGGCAGAGCCCTCTTGCGGCACCGACCCGGAAAGGCCGGCTGTCCCCTCCGGGGAGCTGGCTTGGGACCTTCTTCGGGAGGTAGCGCTGTCCTTGCCATCCCCATTGCTCTGGCACCACCCCCTTCTGACCCTCTCCGTCACCCCATCCCTTCCTCCCATTCCCCCATCCCGCTCACCCTGTCCCTGTCCTCCCTCCGTCACCCTCACCCCAGAATTCTTCCCTGTGAGGGTGCTGAGGCGCTGGCACAGGGTGCCCAGAGAAGCTGTGGCTGCCCCATCCCTGGCAGTGTTCAAGGCCAGGTTGGACACAGGGGCTTGGAGCAAGCTGCTCTAGTGGAAGGTGTCCCTGCCCGTGGCAGGGGGTTGGAGCTGGATAAGATGGATCATTCTATGCCCCCCACTCCATCACTCAGAGGCATTTCAGCTCTGGGGAGTTTCTGTCCCTGCCTGTGCCCCAGGCACCCACCTCACACCAATAGGATTAATCTGGAATAGCCTGAAGGAATTAATGGTGGAAAGGAGAGAAGCTGGGCTTAGGTATTAACTTGCAACATCACTTTTCCCAGAAAGTCTGTAACAAAATAATCCCATAAACCCAGCAAGTCTTGGTGCTATTTATGTAATGTCATTGCTGGCTGGAGGGCACAAATGCAAGTGGGTTTACGTAAAGCCCTGTGCTCCTGGGGCAGGGGATGCTCCCGAAGGCACCAAAGGATGTGGCTTTTCCTCTGCAACTTCCCTCTGAGCTTGTGCTGGAAATTGGGGTGGGTTTTCTCCCCCATATCCATGCCTGAAATAGGTCAAGGACCCTCCAGCAGGACTTTGCTGCTGGCCCCGTAGTGTGTGAGCAGCCTGGTGACAGCACTCACTGGAGCTTTCTGGGGGTGACACAGGGCTCCTGTGCTGTGTGGGGCACAGTGGGGCCCACCAAACTAAAGCAGGATGCACAGCTGGTGTTGCAAAGGGTCCTGGCTGGTGGCTGGACCAGCCTTGTCCATCCGGTTTGAATCTGGAAGTGTGGGTACCAGCACTGCCACATCTGCAGCCTGGGGCACGGGGATGGGCTCACTGCACGTGGCAGAGCAGCGCTGGGGAGTGGGAGCATCCTGTAGGAGCTGCCACAGGAGCCACCAGGTGACACGTTCCCTGCAGGGACATTGCCCAAAACCACAGCACAGGGGTTTGTGAGGATGCAGGAGGGGATGGATGGATGCTCACACCCAGCAGAGGCAGCCCCACAAGTGTGTTACCCTGGCCATGAGCAGCCACCATGGCACAGGACTCGGGGACCAGCTTTTATTCTCCTTCTTAATTCTTTCTCCTGAAACAGGCACCACTTCTCACCCCAGCCCAGTCTCAGGAGCTGCTCTTATTCCTCAGGCCTCAGATGCACCCTCCCTTTGCACAGTTTAACTGCTCTCACTGCTCTTCCTGCTCAACAGGGGGGTGTCTCCCACCCTGGTTGATGGAGGGGACCCCAACTGCCTTTCCCCCATCCAGAGTGTGATGTTCCCTGGGCACAAGGAGTATCCTGATTGCAGCTCAATGTGCACTCATCTGCAGGGTGGAGCTCTGAGACCTGGGATCTCGCCCTTGCTCTTCCACCAACTGCATCAGCCTTCCCATCGGGCAGGAAAAACGGGAACAAGCATGTGAATTGTCATGAATGTTGTGTTCCAGCTAAAGATCCTGCAGGAACACAAAGCGCGATGAGACTGAGACCAAGGGCGGGGAGGAGCCGTTGCATTGGAGTATCCTGAATCATTTTGGTCTTACCGGTTTAATGGAGTTGATTATGACTTGTTTTAAGGTCTTTCCCTGCAGTTTCTGCTCTAATCAGGTCAAAAGCTGATTTGCAAATAATCACCAGGAAAGGGGGGGGAAATCAAGGGATTTAAACCCAAGCTGTGCATTTTATACTATTAATTGAAAGCCTGTGAGAGATAATGTGTCCCTTGTCCAGGCTGAGACCTGTAAGCTGCTATTAGCAGCAAACTCCCCACCCTGCTTGGGCATCACCTCCTGGTTGGGATTAGGGCTGTGCACGCATGGGAAAACCCCCAGCAGGCAGCAACTTAGTGAAAGGGCAGAAATTAGGGAGCATCAAGGAGATACAGGGCTGTCCGAGCATCCATGAACTCCACATCAGGTAGCACGAACCCCAGAGTAACTGTTTGAAAGCAGGGATTAATAAGTGAAGTCATGCTGGTAACTGAAATATTTCTCTGCCAGAGAGAAATGTGCAAGTTGAACTTTATTGTGTGTGTCTGGCACACTGCTGCAGGCAGCTCCCAACACACTTTCCACATCCCTGGAAAGAGGGAAGAGGTTGATAATCAGAGAAATCCACTCCGGTATTAATTACACGATATTACCAGGGCTTATTGGCTAAGCCCCATTCTAATCACCCTCTCTGTTGTATTTCAGGCAGCACCTAAGGACACTGCGTGTAGTGAATAAACCAGCTCTCAAAGTTGACTTGGGCACGGGCAGCGCGGTGCAGGCACAGCAGCAGCACCAGTGGGCACAAGAGGCGAGAAGCAAGGATCAGCACAACAGACCTGCTGTCTCCCACCAAGGTAGTGGCAGAACATTCACGAGTCAGTGAAATCCCCCCAACCCCAGCCCGAATCCAGGGGGGTTTTCCATTATAAATAAATGGGGGGGGGGGGGTGAGTTATGGTTTTGCAGCAGGAGGGAGGGATTCATGCAGCCTCCAGGGAAAAGTCACTGCGGAAGCTCAGCGCAGCAAAGCGAGATCCCGTTCTGGTGGCTCGGCTGAGGGATGCTGCTAGTCCTGGCAGGGTGAGCGCTGCGGCTGCGTTCGGTGAGGAGCAGGCTCATAGAGGCCTTTGCCAGCTGAACCACTGCAGTTCCCAGTCAGGAAGATGCTGTCAGGTCCGAGCTCTCCATCCTGAGGCCGGCTCAGGGCTGGTGGGACAGCGATGGGGACAGCAATGCCAGGACCCCACACAAGCCTTCTGCCCGGAGGGGGATGCTTCATCCTGAGTCCACCTCATCATGCCTTCATACCCCTCTGGAGCCAACAGTGACAGGCTCCGCTGGAGTGTGACATTGAGGGTGCCCAAGGACTCTTGCTGGAAGCACGGGGAGGCTTCAAGCATCACCGGCTGGATCGGTTGTCAAAGCAGCCCCAAAAATCCAGCTTGGTGGGAGGCAGACGGTGCTGGTGCCATCACGAGGACCAGTCCCCTTCTGTTGTCTGCCCCAAGAAGGGTGCAGTCTGGAGCCAGCATCAGTGTCCAGGGACGGTGAAAGCGGGATGACTCCAGGCCTGCTTGAATCCCCCATGGAAGTCTGCACAGGGGCACATGAAGGCTGCACCCAAGTCCCAGCGTGAGGCACAGTCCCACCAGTGTCCTGCTGCCACAGCATCTTGGGGACCCCTCCTGGCAGCGAGGCTTGGACGGGGAAGGGGCCCTGCTCCATGGAGGCTGCCCTGAACCTGCTGCCTTCGGGAGGGAGGTGACCCCAGGCTGGGCTGGGGCTGCTGACAGCAGATTCCCCTACAAACACCCCCAGACCTGGCAAGATCCTCCAGGGACCCCAGACCCTGCTGGGTCTCTCAACCTCAGTGTCCCCCATGACCTCCCAGCTCATTGCACACCCCTGGACCCCTGACCCTGCAGGATCCTTCAAGCACACCAAACCCCCAGCAACAACACCCCCCAGATTCATCAGGGCACCCCAAAGTCCCCAGACCCTGCTGGGTCCCCTGGAGTGCCTCAATCACATGGGGGCCCTTAAGGAACCCCACACCCCCCAGGGTCTCCCTGCATCAGACACCTCAGGACATTGCTGAGGTCCCCTGACCCTGCTGAGACCCTCAAACCCATTGGGTCCCAGCCCGTCAGATTTCCCAGACCCTGCTGGGTCCCCCCGGACCCCCAAAACCCAGAGGTCCCCGACTCATCAGATTCCCCAAGACCCCCTAAAGGACCCCAGACCCTGCTGGGTCCCCCATACCCCTCCATCCTGCAGGATCCCCCTGGGACCCCCAAACCCATTGGGTCCCAGCCCATCAGATTGCCCAGACCCCGCTGGGTTCCCACACCCCCCGGTGTCCCCCAGATCCTGTAGGGTCCCCCTGAGATCCCCCAACCCCAGAGGTCCCTGTGTCATCAGACTGCCCAGGACCCTCTAAAGCAGCCCAGACCCCGCTGGGCTCCCCCTGGGACGCCCCAAACCCGGAGGTCCCCAACTCATCGCACTCCCTACGCCTCTCTAAAGGACCCTCTGGGTGCCCCCCCCCCCCCCAGAGCACCCCTGTCCCCTAGGCGGGGCTGCGGGGCGCGGCGGGCAGGCGGCGGGCGGCAGCGGGAGGAGCGGCGGCCCCGCGGGCGCGGGCGGGGGCCCAGGGCACGCAGCTACGGAGGGCGCGGGCGGCCGCCAGGAGCGCACCGGGCCGGGGCCGGGGTCGGCGGCGGAGCCCCTTCTGCAGGCGCTGCGTGTGCGCAGCCAGCGCCAGCTGAGCCTGGGCCACGCCGGCTCCGAGCCGGCCCAGAGCCTCCGCGCGGGCGGCCAGGCGCAGCTCCGCGTGCCGCAGGGCGCAGTGCACCTGCAGCACCCGGCCCTCCAGCTCCGCCGCCGCACGCCGCCGTCCCTCCGCCGCCACCAGCCGCCGCCGCGCCGCCGCCAGCTCCACCGACCCGGGGCTGCTCTTGCTGCTGCTGCTGCTGCCGGTGGTGCTGCTGCCGGTGGTGGTACTGCTGCTGCTGCCGGTGGTGGTGCTGCTGCTGCTGCCGCCGGTACCGCCGCGGTCGGGGCGCTGCTCGCTGCCCGCAGTCGGACTCGCAGCCGGCCCCGGGCTCTGCTCCGCCGCTGCCGCCGCCGCCATGGGAACGGGATGGGGAGAAGGGCAGCGCCGCGGTGATGATATATACCCGGGGGCGGCGCCGGCTACGGGCGGCTCGGCCCCAACGGGGCGGCTCCGGCACCGGCACGGGAAGGGGGGGACGACGGGGACACGACCCCGAGCCGGTGAGGTTCGGTACAGGGGATGCTCGGGATAGGTATGGCCCGGCACGGCACCGGGCTGGGTATGGCTCGGTACGGTACTGGCACTGTCGCGGGCCTGTTCTCGGTACAGCTCGTACAACGGCACGGTACTGGCACCATCACGGCCCCGGGCTCTATACGGCTCAGTACAGAACTGGAGCGCCGTCGGTACGGACTGGCAGTGGCACGGCTGCGGGCTTCGTGCGGCCCAATACAACACCAGAACCAGCACCGTCATGGATTCGGGCTCGGTATTATTCAGTACAGCACCGGCCCTGAGCTCGGTATAGCCCGGTATGGCACAGCTCGGGTATTGACACCATCGCAGCCCTAGGCTCAGTATAGCCTTGTATAGGACCATCCCGGTGGCACCAGGAAACTCCCCTCCCTTAGGGGCATCACTGGGAAAGGCTGAGAGGGTTATTGGCGCGTCACTGGGAAAGGCAGGGCTGGGAAGGCTTAAGCTGGAGAGGCTTAGTGGGAAAGGCTGGGCAAGGAAGAGGTACTGGAGAGATTTACTGGGAAAGGTTGGGAGAGAGGCTGGACTGGGATGAGTTACTGGTTTCAAGCCTGCAGCCCCTGGGAGAAACAGCTGAAGAAGCTCCTTGTGCTGGCTGGGGAATGCAAGGGCAGCCCCTGTCCCCTCCCCAGCTGTGGCTGGGATGTCCCAGTGCTTGAGGCTCAGGAGACATAGCACCAGGACAGCATGTCCTTGGTTGCATGACTGTCACAGCAACGCCGTTGCCGATGTCTATCATTTAAGACAGTGTTAATAGAGCTGAGAGTGGGAGGGAGGTGCAGCAGGAGGGTGCTGCTGCCACTTTGCTTCCCTGAGGAGCCTGGTTTTCAGGGTTCCTCCTGTGGGGATGTCACGCTCAGTGGCTGCGTATTCACATAGGTGCGTGGGGTAATGTCTGCTTGTACCCGCATCAGAGCGGCAGAGAGGATAAAAGAGATGATGGGAACCAGGTGCCAAAGTCTCATCCCACCCCCAGACAGAAGGAAAAGCAAAAAACCCACCCCAGCCTAAAGCTGTTCCTGGCAGAGCCATGTCCAGGCCTGCGATGGATGAACACCTCCATCCCACGTGGACTGATGGCAGCTTTGTTTCCCTTACCTTATGAGGGGGAAAAAAAACAACATCCCTTGTGCTTTGTGTTGCATTCGTGCTCTTGCCAGCGCTGCCACACGTCTGCCAGACACCGGAGCAGCGTCAGAGGCTGCTGCGTCACTGCTCCCGGCCCCCGCTGCCAGCTTGTCCCTTCCCTGCTTGTCCACCACCTCCCACCGCATCTCCCCTGCTCCACGGCCATGACATTTGCTGTTCAGGCTGCACTTCAGGCTGTAAGAAAGCTGAAGTCCAGGCTGAACCATCTTCATGTATCCAATGCTATAAAGTGAGGTTTGATGCTGCATCATCATAGGTTCAGGATCAAAGCTCTGCTCTTGCTCCCCCTGCCTCCAACCCGAAGAAACTGTGGGGACAGGCGGGTACTGAAGAGAACATTCTCCTCTCTGATTTTCTCCTCTGTTTCAGTAGAACCCGGACTCCCAAGAGCACCCCAAGGTGGAAAAGGGCTGGGGTCTGTCTTGCAGTGAACTTCTCCCACTCCCCCAAAGCGAAATCTCAGAATCGCTGAGCTTGGAGGGACCTCATCACCTTTCCAGCTCCTGTCCCTGGTCCAGAGTGAGAAAAGGAAATGGTGATAGGGAGCAGTTATGCCTGGGAATGAATTTCAGAGATCAGACGAGGCCAGATGGGCTGGGGATGCTGGGCAGGAAGGCTGGGGTGCTGCTGAGGCCCCCACAACGACTGTGTCTCCAGGCTGTCAATAGCACATCCTGCTCCATGAACAGACAAGAAGCCAGTAAAGGCAAATCAGAGAGAAATGCCCGTGCCCTCCAGAGTAAGTCACAACCCAAGTCCCTCCCGTGCTGCTGCCTGAGCTGACGAGCTATTAATGATTTAGCAACGGAGTCTGAAATTAGCAGTGCTCAGAATAAACCTCTTTGATGCAAAGCTCGGTTGAGAGCATTGTTCTCTCTCCCGTAGCAGCGACCCTGCGCTCCCTGCAGCTGCATGGGAGGCACTGACAACAGGGATGGGGCACCAAGCTGCACCCCACAGCCAGCCCAGCACCAGTTGCCGTTCCTCTGGGGTCCATGAGGAGAAGGACTTGAAGCCCTGGGGAGAAGCAAATGAATCCAGAGGAGGCCACGGAGATGCTGCGAGGGCTGGAGCAGCTCTGCTCTGGAGCCAGGCTGAGAGAGCTGGGCTGGGGCAGCCTGGACAAGAGAAGACTCCTGAAGGGGAGACCTGAGAGCAGCTCCAGTGCCTGAAGGGGCTGCAGGAAACCTGGAGAGGGGCTTGGGACAAGGGCCTGTAGGGACAGGCCAAGGGGAACGGCTTTAACCTGCCTGAGGGGAGACTGAGATGAGCTCTTAGGCAGAAGCTCTTCCCTGTGAGGGTGCTGAGGTGCTGGCACTGGGTGCCCAGAGAAGCTGTGGCTGCCCCATCCCTGGCAGTGTTCAAGGCCAGGTTGGACACAGGGGCTTGGAGCAAGCTGCTCTAGTGGAAGGTGTTGGGGTTGGAGCTGGAGGAGCTTTAAGGTCCCTTCCAACCCAAACCATTCTACGAATTCCCCAGGGATGTGGAGCCAGCCCCTCATTGGTTGTGCTCTGCCTCAGGTTAGGGCAGCCCTGCAGGAGGATGTAGTTGAGGGCTGTGCAATAGCATCTGATTTTGGGCCTCTTTAAAACCCTTCATTGGGATCTGCTCCAGAAAAGCAAAGCCTTATTAAAGGCAGTAAATCATTAATGTTAGTGCCATCTCTCCCAGTGTCTCTGCAAGCTTTCCCTCAGGTGTCCCAGTTCCCAGGCAGGGGGGATCCAGGCACTGCTCTCTCATCCTGGCCCAGTTTAAGGGAAGGAATCCTGCATCAGGTTTTCAGGTTTAAGCCCCAGGACTTCTGAGTTGATCCAGCTCCATCCTGGTCCCAGCAGTGCGCTCTGGAACGCAGCAGCAGCTCCGCTGGGAGGGGACACAGGAGCTGAGGGGCATTAAGCAGCATGGTGCTGGGCTCAGGGGGACACATTGTGCTGCCCAGCTCATCCTGGATGTGCCAAGCGCTATGGGGCAGCACCGGGAGAGGTTTCATGGCTGGGATCTGTGCTCAAGGCACCTGGCAGAGGAGATGATGGATTTCCAAGCAGTGCTTTGAGTTGTACACAGATGAAAGCCTGGCCATGGAAATGACACCAGCTGCATGTAAGTACAGTGCTCCTGTGCCAGAGGCTTAAGTACATAAATGTGGTCTTCCTGCCGTTCAGAGAAGGAATGAGCTGCTTGGCACTGGCACCATCCCTCAAACAGATTTCTCTCTCTCCTCTTTCCTCTTGGAAACTGGCTGATGCTTCTGAGCCCAGCGCCTCTGCTCCGGCTGCAGCCTCCGTGCTGAGCTGCGTTCTTCCAGGCTCCTTCCCTGCCTGCTTCCCCTCCTGGTTTCCTTCCTTTCCTCCAACCCTTCAGGGAAGGATCCGACCCCCTCCAAGAGTGAATCATCAGCTCTGTGGTGAGAACCACTGAGTCACCAAGCGGCAGCAAACAGGATGGGCTGAGCTCCTGGGGAGCACTGGGCATCACTGCAGCTTGTACATCCCTTATGCCACTGCTGTCCTCAGGGGAACTTCTCCCAGCAGGAGAAGGGATGGTTGATGTTGCTTTGCGGGATGCTGAGCATGGAGGATGAAATCACCGCAGATGAGGGGTGCAGGCCCCTCCATGGCTGTGGCCAGGCTGGAGAGCAAGGCTGGGGGGGGGGGGGGCAGGAGGGGTGGCCCAAAGGCTTTAGGGGTGTCAATGCACTTGAGCATGGCCTGGATGAAGCTTCATCTGGGATGGACATGCTCCGGAGAGGCACCCAAACCTGCAGGCAGCACCCAGGGAGGCACAGGTGAGATGCTCTCCATAGGGCAGAGGTCCCATGGGACACTGGGGGAGGGATGTGGCCACCCCATGCCTGTCACTGCGTATCCCTTGGCAGGGATGTGCTGCCTGGTGCAGGCAACACAGGGAGGGAGTTAAAACGCTGAGGAACAATGCAGAGCAGAGTGGGGGGGATCCTGGGGATTGGGACCCTTGGGGACAGGGATCCTTTGGGACAAGATCCTCAGGGACAAGTGTTCTCTGGGACAGGATCCTTGGCGATGACAATCCATTGGGACAGGAATCTTTCCCAGGCATCCTTGGGGAGTGAGACCCTTGGGGATGAAGTCTTTAAGGATGGAGACCTTGGGGACAGGAATCCTTGGGGAAGGCGATCCAAGAGATCCTGGGGGATGAGGACCCTCGGACAAGGGGGCCGTTTGGGACACAGACAGTTGAGGATGAGGATCATCGGGCAGTGGGATGCTTTGAGACAGAGTCCACGGTGACAGGGCTCCGTGGGGACAGGGCTCCGTGGGGACAGGGCTCTACAGGGACATGGCTCTATGGGGACAGGACTTTATGGGGACAGGGCGCCATGGGGACAGGACTCTATGGGGACCGTGGTCCCACCGCTGGAGCCCCGTGCGGCGCGGACCGGGTCGGCTTCGCCGTCCGCGCTCTGCTGTCCCTCGCGGCGGCCCGTCGGGCCGGGTCACGTGGCTCACCTGGCCCAGGTGAGGCGGGGCCGGGCGCCGTTCGCTCGCTCGCAGGTAACAGCGGGGCGGGGGGAGCCGGGCCCCGGCCGCGACCCCAACCCCAACCCCGGCCCCGGTCCCGACCCCGGCCGCGGCCCCAACCCCAGCCCCGGCCCCAACCCCGCCGCCGCTCGGCGCTTCCCCCGGCGGGGCCGCCCGCCCTGGGCCCGGGGGCAGCAGCAGGAGGCCGCGGCCGGGAGGGGCGGGCACCCCCGTTGCCTCCCCCTCCGCCAAGAGCGGGTTCTCCGTCTCCGTGCGCCCCGGGGCGGGGAGGCTGGCGGCTGAGGGACACCCCCCCAGCGCCCCGGTGCTGTCGTTGTTCCCCCCCCCTTCGCCCCGCTCTGATCCCCTCCCTGCTCTGGGGCCTTCCCGGCCCTCGCCCTGCGAGGCTGGTGTCGGTAGGAGCTCTGCCGGGGGGTGCTGGGTCTCTCTGGTCCCTCCTGGGGTCGGCTTGGCTTTGGAGAGCTGATACCTTGATGGGGAGCGCGGCGGGGACGGGAGGCTCCCCCTCCCCCACCCGCTGTTCTCTGCTGCCGGCTTCTCCTCTCCCCAAAATCCACCGTCTGGAGGATGTCGGGGGCGCAGAGAGGGCAGAGCAGCCTCCGCTTGGGGGCCCAGGCGGGGCTACCCCTCCCCGCAGTGCTCCCTTAGTGAGGAGGAAGGGGCAGCACCGAAGTGGAGTCCTGTTGTCAGCTGGAACAGGAGGTGCTTTGGGCCGGGGGTGCCGGGGAGCGTTTGGCAAGAGGCAGTTCCTTGTCTGGGCTGTTTGTATCCTAGGTAGGCTCAGCTGAGAGGGTGCAGCAGCACAGCGAAGAAGCCAGCTCCGTGTTCCTCTAGGCCAGGGTCTCTATTGCTGCCCGGTGCCAGGGGTCTGAGAGCTTTATGGGGTGGCTTTTGGCATCTGGCAAGGCTGTTTAGAAACCACTTCTTGATGCTTCCATCTACTTATGATAAGCTGGGTCGTGTATCCTGCATTTAGGTACCTCAGTTACTGTTCTTGCTTCCCTAGTCCCTAACAACAACGGCAGTGTGGCTATTGGCAAACCGATGTGACCTTGTTAAGTAGATTCACTACTTAATTTAGCTTTTTCCAAACTCTCAAAGGAAACCCTGTCCTCTGAACAATGAAGATCTTAGACCCCGGCTAACTCATAGATGCACAAACTCCTCGTTCTTCTGAAGCAGATGCTCAAGTTCTTTAGGGGGATCTTCACTTTCCACACCTGGTACCTGTGTGAGACCAGAGAAAGCTCCCACCCGTCTTGTGAGTATCAGCTCGGCCATGGGGTTCAGTCAGAGCTTTTCTTTAGGGCTGTGTTAGGCAGCTGGCTCCAGGTTTCAGACCAGTCCCTTGCCGCTGGATCGAGGTGCTGTGTCTTGTCTGTGCTCCTGGGGAGCTCCTCCAAGGTGTGAGCTGGTGGTCACAGCAGCCTGAGCTGAGAAGGGGAGGGAACGGGGCGAGCTCAGTGCTCAGGACCGGAGGCGTCTCTGATGCCTGATGCCACCGGGGGTTTGTGCAATGGCAGGCAAGAGGTTTAATCTCTGTGCCTGCAGGTGTCTTTCTGCAGAGCTGCGATAATGCTCCTCCCTGTGTCAGAGATGCTCTGAAATGTCAGGATGTTATATATTGTTATATAAGTGGTTGTTACTGTGCAGTGCATGCATTAAAATCTGATGAGGCCATGCTATTAAGAGCATTTTAAACTGCATTACAGTACTGATGAAGCTGAGGTAAAAGCCCTGTTCCTAAGTGAAAGCAATCAAAACTCTCCACTGATGCTCAGTCGGGGGAGCTCTGCCTGCTCAGCAGTGAAATTGGAGTGTCTGGGGCTTTTATATTTAACATATTGTCCAGGAATGTGCAGAAGGAGCTCCTGGGACATGCATTGCTTATGGATTTTTGTAAGCTAATGGAGCCAAAGCATTCCTGGAAAGCAGTGGTGTGCTGTAACTGCCTGACTTTCACTCTGGGCCTGCTTCTGTGTGTGGAAAACACAACTATTTGTTTTTAAGAAGGGCAAAGGAGGCAGTACTCTAACAGGATAGGATAGAGGTATATATTCATGCTTAGGATGCCCTAAGAAAGTGCATAGTAGAACAGCAGGGAAAGTCCAAAACTGCTTAAGCTATGGCTGGGCTTTCACTGCTTATTAATTAGCCTAATGAGGATTTAAAAGGATCTCTTGGGGGTGAAAGCAGTGTTAGCCAAGAGGCTTAGAAACCGTGGGCAGTTTAGGGCCCCATCACAGTCTGGGCTAAAAGCAGCTGCAATAGGAGTAGTGGAGGGTGACAGCCTTGATGCGACTTTCCTCTCCACCACCCAGTGCTGAGCTTCCTTCATAAAGGGAGATAAAATGTGCCAAGCTCTGCTTGATGGATGTGTGGAGCTCAAGTGTGACAGTGTGCAAACACAGTTTACTCCTGTGTGCAGAGCTGGGGCTGTTGTGTTAGTCAGTGAGAATGGTTGAGCACGTAGGCTGCTGGTAGGGTGTCTGTAGTAGGGCTTTGTGAAGGTTTTGCTCCTGTGAGGCTTGATTTGAGAGTGACTTGATGACAAGATTTTCTCTTTAATCCAGAAGAAGACAGTTTTCGTAGGAAAGCCTTTGGCATAACTTGGCCTTAGCATGACTAGCAAAAAACATTAGTGTTAGTAACGCTGCTATTGCTAAACCCTCTAAATAGCATTGAATAATTTGGAGTCTGAATTGGCAGCTTGCATAATGATTGATTGCTTGTCATCTCCTCCTGGGCATGGTGTGTTTTGAAATGGATAGGCACTGTCAGGGCCCAGTTTAATCCTAAAGAATGCAAGACGAAGGGGAAGTTGTTTAAAAGAAGATACTTTCCCTCTGGAGCCTGTCAACTGGCTCCACCTATGGCTGTGATGCTCATTTACTGCTCTGGAGCCTGAGTCTTCCAGCTGCATGGAGGAAACCTCTTCTGAAGGATACAGGGATTTTGATGTCTTAAAAACAGTCCTTTTAAAACAGCTCTTTTGATTGAAGCATCTCCTGAAAGGAAGCAGCAAAGTTGAATGGTTGGAGAACCCTGAAACACAGGCTGGATCCCCTCCCTGTGCAAGTGAGAGCAGTGTGAATCCTAGTGCAAAATACTTGTGCAAATAATGGGACTATCAAATTGGGGAATCACTGAATCTAAATGTTGGGTTCTTCTCTGTTGATCAGCAGCTTGCTAAGGTGAAACTGGTGATGAATCCTTTGTTTGACTTGAGACCTCCTTGTTCTGCAGGTGCCTGAGCAGTGAGCCATGCTGGGCCGGAAAACAGGACTCCCCCACGAGCTGAACAGCCACCGCCAGCTGAACCAGTCCTACCAGGAGGCTGTGCCCCTGCGGACCAGGGCATCCAAGGAGGCAGATGTCAGTTTGGAGGTGTTCAGTGGCTCTACACCTGAAATCAAACAGGGCCGCAGCAGAGCCCAGCAGATGCGGGATAGGAAAGCTCGCAAAGCTGATCTCAAAGACTCCAATGGGAGAGAGGCAGAAACGATTACCTTTATTTCTGGTACAGCAGAGGCTCCCCCAAACCAGAGCTTTTGCTGTTCCTCTCTGTCTCAGGCCTGGAACACATACAAGGCTGTTTTCTGTTGTATAGTGACCTGTGGGGGCTGCTTTCAGGACTGCAGTGTCTGTATCCCCTATCCAGGGCCCACTGAGACCTCCACCGATGATGGAAAGAATGGAGATTATAATGGGCGACTGCCAAACAGCCCTGCCAACGTCTCTCCCACTGAGAAAAATGGGAACCAGATCAAAAAGTCCAGCATGGGTAGCAGTTTCAGTTACCCAGATGTGAAACTGAAGGGCATTCCTGTCTATCAAAATAGGAGCCCCAGCCACCACCTGGAATCAGATTCGTGCTGCAAAGAGCTGCTGCCAGAGAAGCCCTTCAGGAACAGCATAGAAAAGCCACCCCTCCCCAGCAGCCACCGGAGTTCAGAGGAGTATTATTCCTTCCACGAGTCTGACCTGGACATCAGCGAGCTGAATGGCTCCATGTCCAGCAGGGAGATTGATGTCCTGATCTTCAAGAAGCTGACGGAGCTCTTCAGCGTCCACCAGATCGATGAGCTGGCCAAATGCACATCAGACACTGTCTTCCTGGAGAAGACCAACAAGATCTCAGACCTCATCAATAGCATAACTCAGGACTACAACCTGGATGAGCAGGATGCTGAATGCAGGCTGGTCCGAGGCATCATTCGCATCAGCACCCGGAAAAGCAGAGTCCGGCCCCATATCTCTATCCCAGCCAGCCAGAGCCATGAGGAGAAGTCCAGCAGAGGCAACGCACCAGACAGCGGGAATGAAACCATGCTGGAGTCCATGGTCATCAGCCAGGATGGTACGTGTGGCTTTCCTGGTGCTACTGCTTCAGAACAAGAGGGTTATTTATATGGAATCACAGAGTAGTTTGGGCTGGAAGGGACCTTAAAGCTCCTCCAGCTCCAACCCCTGCCATGGGCAGGGACACCTTCCACTAGAGCAGCTTGCTCCAAGTCCCTGTGTCCAACCTGGCCTTGAACACTGCCAGGGATGGGGCAGCCCCAGCTTCTCTGGGCACCCTGTGCCAGCGCCTCAGCACCCTCACAGGGAAGAGCTTCTGCCTAAGAGCTCATCTCAATCTCCCTTCTGGCAGGTTAAAGCCATTCCCCCTTCTCCTGTCCTTACATTCCCTTTCAAGAAGTTCCTCTCCAGCTTTCTTGTTGGCCCCTGTAGATACTGGAAGGCTTTTGATTTTATCAAAGCCATGGAGATGTGACAATGGAACAGAAATGAAGGCTGGTGCCTGTCTTCAGGCTGGGCTTTTTTTCCTGGGATGTGTGAATGGAGCTCCTTCTGTATTACTGGAGATCTCTGCTTCTCACCAGTCATTGTGTTGGGGCTTTCTAGATAGTATCTTTCACTGTCAAGGAAGTTTGTGCTGAGCAATAGAAGTTCTGCTGCTACTGCAGTGATTCTGCTTTCCTCCTCACCTCTAAGCTGGGCAGAAAGACTGAGTCAAACTTAACTGGTATGACCAGACGAGCTGGCTTGTGCCTGAGGATGTCCAGTTACTCAGCTGCCTCTTTCGCGTGAGCTACCAGTGCTCTTTGCTAATGCCACCCTTAGACTATACTGTGACTGGGAGCCTCCTTGGAGCTGGGACTTCCTCCACACAGTGGGTGAGGAGCTGACAGTAAATATCCCTGCAGAGAGGAGGGAAGGGCTGCTGCCACAGCGTAAGTGCTTCCTGGCTGTTTGAGGGATGCTTTCCTCCTGGTCTGGAGCACTGACCTCCAGAATAGCTTGTAAGAGAGACCTTGGAAAGCTCAGCGTGGGGGTTAAGGAGAGGTCCAGAAATAACGGAGGAGGAAACCGGGTGGTTTAGCACTAAGGCTGCTGTTGCTTCCTGGTGTTTAAGAACTACAAAGCTCAGATTACCAAGACAATGGTGGAAGCAATCAATGGGACTTTACCTCTCCTATTACCTGAGGGTGGTGCCTTCCAAGTTGAGCCCTGTGTATTCCCTGGCTGGGATCAGTCTTGAGTCACAGCTGCCCATTCTTCCCTGTCTCAGCCCCTCTTGGCTTTCATTCCAGATCTGGACGTGCAGATATCTGAAGAAACATCAGCAGATGTGATAGCCAGGAACATGAGGCGACACAGCAGTGCAGGTAACATACCTGGCCAGGGTTCTTCATTGCGGATATGCATCACAGGAGTGAGAGGAATGCCCTGGATCTCCCATGTTACACCATCCCTCAATTTTCACGCCCAAAGGCTGGGCTGACACCTGTCTCTTTAGGTTACCATAAGGAGAGTAGTTCTCTTGAGCTTTGGGCATGAAAGGAGCTCAGAAGACTGCTTGGGTCGGTGGGTGCTGGAAAAGAATGGAACCCAAGTCTGGAGTGATCTCTGTCCATGCACGATGCTTGGCCTGAGAGCTTTCTGTCCTGGGGTGTCTGTGGGGCTGTATTTGGGGTGTGACTGGCTAAGGTCACAGCTGGGTTACACTGGGAACAAAAGGAACTGTGCAAAAGAGAAGCAGGGCAGGGTGATGGGCTGTCCCCTGAGCTCTGATCCTCCCGGCATTACATGCTCCACTCCACAGAGCAGCCCAGGGCTAAAAGACAAGTTTTCTCATGCATAATAACAGATCTGTCCTAGGAGATGGCTACAATACAGGCAGGGTTGTTCCCTGCCTGTGGGCTTTGTGTGGCTTTCTCCTCCCTCATGATACACAAAGCCTTTGTGGCAGATGCTTGCCTAACTGCCAGGCTGCTACAGTTCACGCTGTCTAATGTCACCCTCTCTTTTTCCTCTCCAAGGCTCTCCAACAAGCAGAGATTCCTCTTTCCAAGACACAGAGACTGACTCATCCGGGGCACCTCTGCTTCAGGTGTATTGTTAAGGAAAAGGACCCAAGCAGCAGGCAGGCATTCCGAGGCTCTGCTGCTATCAGTTTTCTCCTCTTTCAATATGGAGTGTGCTATGCCACTTACTTTTTCCCCCCAGTCCACCCTGATCCTTGGTTGAAGCCAAATTTCTCCTGCTCTCTAGATTTCACAGGATTTTTGTGTTTTCTTGGACAATATAGAACATCAAGGAAGTGAACTGTGGAGCTAATGAACCTGGCAGGTGAAACGTGTGCCCAGGGAAGAGATGACGGACAAGGAAGTATCAAATAACTTGTGCCTTTGTGATTTCCATAATTCATGTTTAGCTTCAACAACCTCTGTGGCCCAGCCCTTTTCCTCTGCTTTTGAGGATCTGTTGCCCAATTCTTGCTTTCTGGCATTGCAGAACTCAGTTTGGGTAGGGAAGAACTGGGTGATGTCTCTGTGTTTGTGCTGATCCTGAGTTGAGGACCGAGCACTTGCTCTCCAGGGACCCAAATCTCTATTTAAAGTTGCTGGGTGAGTCCCAAAACCATTTAAATCCTTTATCCATGGTGCTTGCAGAAGCCAGGTCTGCCTTTTTCTCCACTGACCACCCTTAGTGGTGTCATCATCTGCTGCACTTATGAGAAGGTTCAGGTAACGTGGTTCATTTAATCTCTGGCCTCTTGGGGTGTCTCCTGAGATAGTGCCAGTCACAGAGGGGTGGGATGCCCGCACAGGCATCCCCTTTCTCAAGGAGACCACGGGGGTCAGTGCTGCAGTCACTGCCAGGTATGGGTTGACCTGTCAGCTCTTCCTCACTCATCTGCCCAGCCCTCTGCCTGGCATTCACACTGGCTGCTGGGCCAGCCTTGCACTTGGGATATGGCAGCAGAGGGAAAGTTGGTTCATTTTGAATGGGTTTTGTAGTTAGGAATAGGGCTGTTTGCCTATTCTTGCTTTGAGAGAAAAGCATCCCCTCAGGGGGTCTCCAGGGGTCCATGAGGACCTGCCCTTCCATGCCTTCTCCTTCCCTTTGCTCCGCTCCAGCTGCTCAGAAGCCAGGAGATGGGGCATTGCCACCCCGAGGGCACAGTGCCAGCTGGCCTTGAGGGCTGCGGCGTTGCAGCAGGAGGAAGCTCTATCTTACTGCTGTTACCACTTGGATGTTTATCAGAAAGCAAACAAGGTGAAGCCATGGGACTTGTTTGTCCGTTCAGGTGCCCTTGGACGTGAGCAGAAAACACTTCAGCTGTGTTTACCAGCCATGGCATAAATGCACCCACTGGTTTCTGGGGGAGAGGGAAACCAAAATAGCCCCCGTGCTTTGGTGTGGACCATGGTTTTGTGCCTGACTTGAACTAAACCGTGCCTTTATTTCCTAGCCTGTGATTACTTTTCAAATGGTTTGCTAGGGAGGGAAAGGATTTAATTCCTCCCATGAGCAGCCAGGCTTATTTAACCAGCCAGATCCCTTTGAAATGGTTCAAGTGCCTGTTGGAGCCTGGTTTTGTGACCTGCTCATTCCTGAGCATGCCTTCCTAACTCATGGACGTGACCAAGCCCACACCTGGGGACGCTGACGGAGAGAGCCTTTGAAAATGTAGGGGAGAGACTGAGACTTGGATTTGCCTTCCCCTCCCTGCTTTGTTGGGTTGTGAAGAACCCCATTGATGCAAGCAGGAGCCCTGAAGCCAGGCCAGGACTCCCAGAGGAGCTGTGTTTGGTCGCCTCCTTCCAAATGCTACTGAACGGACCCCTTTTGGCTTCCTGCTTCTGAATGGATTTGTACGTCTGTGTTTGGACCAGTTTACTTCAACGTGTGCACTGAGGCATCAAGCATGGGTCACGCTGACATGCAGCTCTGTGCTCTGCGCTGAGCTGTGGAGACGAGGGCTGAGGATGGACTTGCAAAGAGCTGCCAATCGCCATTACAGATGCAAGAGCACGTTTTTCATGTTTAGTCTTTGTATGAAGAGTGAATGTGGATGGATTAAGCTTGCAAACCCCCCCCACCCCCCAAAACCCCACCAAGAGGAAGACTCTCAACTGGATGGTCCCTGAAGCTGGTGCCCCTGTGGTGTCTTACGGGATTCTTTTGCACTCCTTGGCCTTATATGTCTGATTTGGTCATTTTTATAAAGCAGAACGATGTGCTCTTTACCTGTGCTGTGTCTCTTGCATTCCTGCTGGCAGCAGGCCGGGGGAAGCCTGGGCCAGGCCAGGAGCATTGCTGGTCCCTGCTTTCCCAGCAGCACATGGACAAAGGTAACTGTCCATTGGGCAGTGCGTGCCCAGGGGGATTGATTGTTCAGAGGCTGAACGTTGTGGGCTGGTGCACGCGGGGAAGCTGGGGGCAAATAAAGGAGCTGCTGGGAAGTGCCTGTTTGCACACAGGGAAACTTGGACCTTCCCTGAGAGGTGATGCTGGAACTGAGCTCAGGCATTAATAGAGGCTCTGGAGTGGCTGCTGGGCTGGATGGATCTGCTTGCAGGGGGGAGGTTGGCTCACTCACTGCCCCTGTGACCAGTTTTGCACTGATTTCACTGCAGGATCTGAGCTGATGACCTGCAGAGCCCCATTCCCTGGCACTGACCTCCTCTCCCCCTCCGTGGGCAGAGGACACAGGGAGGTGGTTGTGGTGGGTTTTTTCCCCTTGGTGTATAGGACATCTCCAGGCAGAAGAGGGTGGATGGGGTGAAGGATTGGCATTAACCCCTTTTTTGTTTTCCTTAAGTGTAGTCTGTTGAGGACTTCTTTGGTCCATGCAGACAGGCAGAAGACTTAACCCCAAACCTGAGTCCTGCACACTGTCCCCTGCCTGTTCTATCCTGCTTCTCTTAAACCAGTCCACCCTTAGGCACCAGGCACAGCCCACTGCACTTGTGTGAGATGTGTTTCCTGGAAGGATTTCAAAGCCATAACCAGGTAATGCTGCTTTCTCTCTGAGACAGGTCTCCAGAGGAGATACTGTGCCTGGAGCCCTTGAACCAGCTGCTTGGGGCCCCAGGGACATGGAGCAAAGGCTGCCGGCAGCAGCTTGCTGGTCCACCTCTAGCAGCCTGTGTGGGGATGTGGCCATGTCCCCATCTGCTCCTAAACTTCCCTGCTAGCTCCCTGGACAAGCCTGGGCCACACTTTCCTGCCCTCTGCCTGCCCTTCCTTTCTAACCCCCTCCAGTGCTTTTCCTGGAAGCAGGATGTCTGCCCTCAGCACTCATTGCAGTGACCAAAGTGACTGAGGAGCTGTAGCACACAGCGTTGCTTCTGCTTCTCTCAGGCCCATCAAATCCTTGGGAAGAGGCTGTTCCTGAGGAATCCGAGTCTAACCCCTGCTCAGTACAGCTCTGCTCTCAGCTCATCCCCTGCCCCAGAACACTGCTGCCAAACTGCTGCTATGGGATCACTGCAATTCCTGGTAACACCGGCAAGCTTTGCGTTTCAAACTACAACGCTGTGGCCAGCTCTCCTGCTTCCGAGTTCACTGCGTGGACCGTGGGGTTTCTCGCTCCCAGCCACACACGGAATGAACCCACAGCGGGGTTTTGTCTGCTGAAGGTTGTGTTTGTGGTGACCAAGCTGCCTGGGCTGCTGCTGTGGGGGTTTTGCTCTGTTGAGTGTTCTGCAGGGACCTGGCAGGGGTTGGTTGCCCAAGTGGGGATCTTACAAGCACAAGCGGGCTTTACCCGGCTGTGTGCATGTGAACGGACGCTTTCCACCCCAGTACTTCCTTCTGGGAACCTGACTCAGCACCTTTCTTTTCCTGAAGACGTTGCTTGAGTTTTATTGGGCTTGGTTTTGGCAGCAGACTCTCCAGAGACTCGGTGTCCTCACCATGCCATGGCTGTGCTGCTCTTTAGTGGCTTCAGTAAGATCCAATGTACTGAGCAGCCCAAGGAACCCCCTGTCAGGATCAGTAACTGCTGGGAACGGTTCTTTGAGTGCTAAAGAAATCAATCCATCTCCCTTTTACACCCTGCACTATTGATTTTAGTGTGTTTAGGAGTTAGAAAGTGGATGGATTGACACTGATTCTTTACAGCCTTGGCGGTAGCAGAGGAGCTGGGGCTTCTCCTCAAAGTAAGTGGTGATGCTCAGTAGCCAGTGCCTCTGTTTCCCTCACTGGGGCTTTGCTGTTTCGTTGTTCTTTCCAAAGCAGTCTGGGCTGTTCCCCAAACGGTCTGATCTGCAGTGGTCATTGAGAAGCTAAGCCAAGAGCTGCTGGAGAGCAAAAGGAAAGACTGGGAGAACCCTTTACCATATGGAACATCCTCTGCAGAGCCTGCAGCCCTTCAAGGGATTGCTCTTACAGCAGGTGTGAAGGGGCCAGGCCACTGGAGGAGCTCTGGGCTGTGCTCTGCTGCGGCTCCGGCGGGTGGCAGCACCCAAACGGCTTCTCCAGGTGACTTGGGTGTAGGAAAGCAAAGGGACCTTCCCCGCTCTGCTGGGCCTTAGGCAGGGAAGATGCCAGCAGAGATGAGGATGGATTTGCAGGGCTGGGTTTCCAGTGGTGCTCAGTGTTTCCCTGCTGTGGTCTCCAGTAACTCAGACTGAGATGGGGCTTGCCGTGCTTTAAACCACTTCTGCAGCTTCTCAGACCAGAGCTGTCCTGCCTGGCATGATTTATTCCAGGGAAAACTGTCCTTCGGAAGCAAAAGGGTGCTTTGGATTCCCCTTGGCCTGGGGGAAGGTCAGTGGCAGCTGGATGTTTGCAGACCACAAGGCCATCAGGAGAAACACCTTCTGTTCCGCTGGCTGGAAGGGTTGAAGTCCAGGGGTAGTGCTGGGATCAACCTGGGATCACAAACACAGCGCCGGGCATTCACCTGCTGCGGGTCTGGAGCCACAGTGAGGGCCCTGTTTGCCTTTCCCTTGGCCTGCCTGGAAGGCCAGATGACATTCCTTTACCCCCAAACCCTCCCTCTCTGCTTCCTCTGGGGCTCCTGCCACTGCTTCTTCCTTGTCTTCACTCTGTCTGCTCTCAGGTGCTTCCCAGCCTGCAGCCTGAAGGGGCAGATGTGGATTGTCACAGATGCCATTACCCTGACCCCTGCTGAACACACCATGAGCCACGACCCTGCAGGGGCTGAGGACCTGAGGTTTTGGGTTTGGTGACACGGAATGAGCTCCACAAGCAGCACAGGCACCCCAAGGCCATGTACCTGCCACCCGCTGATTCATGCCAGCGAGCAGATCAGGTCAGGCTCAGGGTTTCTGGTGCTGGTTACAGGGCTGAGGTGGTGAAGGGGAAGTAACAAAGCTCAGGCTGGGCTCAGGGTGCTGCCATGAACTGTGAGAGTGTAGAACTGGCCCCGTTTACAGTCCTGGATCCTGCTGCAGGGACAGAGCCCAGCCGGCTCCCCTTGATCTCCAGCTGCACAAGGGAGCAGCAGCAGTGTTTTGACATAGCTGAGAACAGGGTGAAACTCATCACACCCCTGCCAGCTCACCCACACCACAGTGGAGCCCAGACACTGCCAGGTACCCTCACCCCAGGCCAAAGCACCTCCAAGGCGCTGCTTTATCACGGCCAAAGCACAGGCAGTTGTCAGATGAACAGTCACAAGGATCCCAACGGCAGCCACCCCAGCCTGGGTCCTTCCTCACCCACAAGGTCACTACTCCACTGGGTGGGTGCTGTTTTGATCCCAAGAGGCTATAAAACCGGGAGATTAAATGCAGACAAGGTCCTATTGTGTAGAAAAAAGCCCTAAACCCAAGCAGGCAGGTGCAGTGCCAGGCTGGACTTCGCCCAAGCCGGTTTTCCAGCCGTTTGTGCCCACTCCCTCTGGCTGGAGGTGGAAATGTTTCAGGGAGGCAGAGACAAGAACCACAGCAGCAGGGATCTGGGGTAGCCTGCAAAGGACTTTCCTTGTTAGCTCATCATAAAGGAGACCTGGGGCAAGGGTGGCTTCCTCAGCACAGTCATGTGCTGCTACGTGGAGAGTAGGGCTTGGTCAGCCTCGTGTTTAAGTGGAGCCTGGAGTTCATCAGCACTCAGGAGCAAGACACGAGGTTCCAACTGTCTCTCCTTGGCCAGGCAGGCACCACAGTCCAGAGCAGGGAGCCTGGAGGCATTGCCCCCTCCCTGCTCACACCCCTGCAGGAGAAACCACGCACTCTACTTGGAAATAAGCCACATTTTTTCCTTTATGTTGCACTGCGGTTGAACACGATATGAACATGCAGAGAAATGCCACTCGGCAGCAGGAGCTCAGGAAACAGCAGTGCCTGTCAGCAGTCAGCAAGGGAAGAGGCTCTTAGGAAAGAGGTAGGAGACACAGTCCCAGCAAGAACAGCCCCCCATCCCCTCCCCTGCCCACAGCCACAGGCTCCCCAGCCTTCCCTTACCATAAGGCAGCAGATCAACCCCTCCAGCCTAGAAGCAGCAGCAAAGGAGGAGCAGAGTGTGTCTCCACTGCAATAGCTGGTGGTTTTAGACTGGTGTTTTCCCTTCCCAAGGAGGCAGAAGGAGAATTTACAAACTAAACTGGCCCTTGTTTTCACAGAAAAGCAGGAAGCTGATAAGAAGGGAGTAAAAACTCAGGAGTACCTACTGCCAAACTGCAATGGCAAAGAGTGCATGAGCAGCTCGGAAGAGCCAGGAGACAAAGCTAAGTGATATATCAAGGGTATGTCCCAGAACCTCTCGACTCTGGCTCCTGTTGCTCTAACTCCCTTTTTGCTCTATCCCCTCCTTCTCTCTTAACTGCCCTTTGGGAAGTGTCTCAGATGGTTTCGGCTGGAGCTGCTGCAGCCTTGTGTTCTGCTCAACACAGGACAACTGAGGATGACTTTGTGAAGCTGCCTCCACTGCAAGCTCGGGTGGGGATGCTCAAGTGTCTACTCGCCCAAGGTAAGGGATGTCCAGCAATACGTATCCTGCCCCACTCAATGGGATGACTGAAAGAGGGGGGAGAAGGGGAGGGCTCAGTTGAATTTAGCTTTTGAAAAGTCCATTTCTGGATGCTGTTCCATGAACCTGCAAGGAAAACAAAGAAAGAGCATGAGTCAGCAGGAGCCACAGAACAGCTTGGCTGCCGGGAGGACAAAAGGCATCCCTACTTCCTGCACTGTCAAGTTTGCTTTGTCCCCACACCCTGCAGGGCAGGGACTGTTCTGCTGAGCTCCTTAGGGGACAGTCCCACACTACAACCTTTTTC